AGAATGTTGTAACGTGTCAAAAGCTTTTTTTAAATCAACGAATACCCCAACTGTGTATTTATTATTATGGGTTGCAGATGAAATATCGTCAATGAAAGTCAACAATGCTAATGCCGTTGATCTATTTTTACAAAATCCAAATTGATTTTCATTTATTAGTTGATTTTTTTTTCAATAAAACTATCAAGTCTTTGCGCAAAACGTTTTTCAAGCACTTTTGACTTGAAAAACTTACTTTTTTATCTATACTTTTAACAACTATAGACACTGGTCTATAGTTGTTAAAACTATGCTTATCTCCTGATTTATATAAGGGTATCACTTTTGCCACTTTCATTCGATCAGGAAAAACTCCTGATTGTAATGAGAGATTAAAAATATAGCATAGAGGAATACTTATACAGTCTAAAGTATTTTTAATTATAATCATGTCTATACCATCACAGTCAGTAGATTTTTTATTTCTAAAGTTTTCTACAATTGCTACTATTTCTTTTATGGTAATATCAGCTAAGAATACAGAATTAACCACTCTACTTTCTCCTTTCCAAACTTCATATTCTGGGTCGTCATTCTTTCTAATTAAATTTGCTAAAGTAGGTCCAACATTTACAAAAAAGGAATTAAATTCGTTTGCTACTTCAGTCTTATTATCGACAACTTGATTATTCTTAATAAAATAAATAGGCCGATCTGAGGGTGTGTGCCTGTTACCCAGTACTTCTTTAAAAATATTCCAAATGCCCTTGATATTATTCTTGTTTTCCTGAAAAAGTTTATTATAATAGTCTTTCTTGGCTTTTCTCAATATTAATACCAACTTATTTTTATAAACTTTATATTTAATTTCCGCATTCTTAGTTCTCTGTGTTATATAGTCCCTATATAAATTATTCTTCTTTTTACACGCATTTGCAAGACCCTTAGTTATCCAAGGTTTCAAATAAAAGATAATCTTACACTTCTTTACAAGTTTAATAAACCAGTGTGGGAAAAACCATCCGCATGAAAAGACCTTTGTTCTCGGACACACACAGAGAAGCAGAGTGAGGAGGAGGTGGGTGGTGCTGGTGGGGGAGGTGGGTGTTGGTGGGGGATGGCGTCTAAACTACTGACGCACAAGTTTCTGCATGCAAGTTCTGGGTGAGAGTAAAACCTGTTAATTTACATTATGATGACAGATAAGGCCGACCAGGCATTCTTTCACTCCAAGATCCATACACTGATAACCACAATTACATAACTCTTTAGATCCGTTCTTGGTACAGGGTTTCATTTATGCATGTTATTGGAACTGCAAGATAAACTACACATCCAAGCTCTTCTGAGTAAAAACAGTGCGGCATGGAAGACTTCCTCGTGCACATGTTGATTCATGCCTCTCCAAGCCACCTCCTGGCCTCGATCCTCCACACTTAACAGATGTGTAACTACATCTGACAGCTGTGTAAACTGCATACACACTGCCTGACAGGTCAGAAGAAGTTCAAATCTCTCTCTTTCTCAAATCTCTCACACACATCTTTTATCTTGCATAGACCTTCCACAAAGCACTATTAAATTCAATGTAGACATAAATCACCAGGAGTGAGTTAGTCTATGGAGAAAGTTTTCTCCTGTGACTAGACATAAATCTCTGTGCGCGAGTCTTCCGTTGGAGACAATGAGCGTAAATATGTCATCCTGAAAAAATGTCATTCTGAAAATGGCGGTGCTCAAGAGGTGGAGTCGGCATGAGAAATAAGTTAGAGCTGATCATGCTGCATTACGCGTGTAAGACATGAGATGGAAAAAGTGTCCACATGGGCCAGGCAGGAAATGCCGGGTCTCCTCAGGGGTCTTCAAAACGTATATCCAAGCACTTTTACAGATGATCCCGTGCTCAGTGTTGAATTCATACCTTATATAGAAATACCTTACGAAATACTCAGCCTGCACTTGAATTTAAATTAAAGGGAGTTCCAACATCAGGCCTCCTTACTCGCGAATAATCTTTTCCTTAGTCTTCCAGCGGATGATGTCATGTTACTGTACCAGTGCCTGTCTTTATTATCGGGGTTAAACGAATGTGTAGCTGCTGGCAGCTTCACTCACATCACTCAGAAAAAAGCCCTGATAACAACCAGTGTTAGTCAAAACACAGACTGCGTGTGTTTCTTGCTGCAGACTTTGCAGTTATTAAAGCATCAAGTGTTCCAAATAACAGGTAATGCTATAAGTCAGAGCATCAAACCCCACCAGTCCTCTTTACCTACCTGTGCTCGAGGTAACTTCATCACCCCGACACGCAGGCTCCCGCAGCAGCAACAAAAGCGCACAGGCTGATCCTAGGACAGAGGCTTCCCCACATGATTAAAAGTCAGTCAGTTTCGTGTCCAGCAGCTGAAACATCAAATCACCGAGCAGCACCTCTACTTACCTCTCATTCCAGCAGGAGTTTTTCATACCAACTCATACAACGGGTGGGAAAGTGCAGGGGATCCAGATTTTGCAGGTAAACACAGGATCAGGAGTATGGAGAAGAGCCGGGTGTTGGGTCAGCGTGAAAGAGAAGCAAAACCAGCTATCCAACAGGTTACTCCTGTGTGTGAGCACAGCCAAGCTGCACTGCGCCTTTATCGCCCCCGGAGAGAGGAGAGAAAGAACGACGGTGACTTGGAGCCTCTTTACCGCCTACTGCTGGTGATCAGTGGCCCTACTTCCTAAATACTGCCTAACTTTCTATTGCCACATTCACTGTTTTAAGGTCTTCTAAGATTGTAAAGCCTTGTAATCATGGAGCTAAATAGTTTTAGATGCTGTAATCATTTCAATTTAATGTCTTTAATATTGGTTCATTTTTTTCTGGGTATAACGTAATAAAACATCACCCATTGCATTTCCATAAAAAAAGACACAAAATGTTGTGGAGATATTTCAGTCTGGACTAACATGGCACACTAATAAGGACACTTCCCCTGCACTGAGAAGAACAATAAACCTTTCCAACAGAGTGGTTTCTTGGCAGGTGCTTTTTACATCCTGCCTCGGATGTTTGCTTGAGATGAGGGAAAAGCAGACGTGGATAAACTCTCAGGGAGATAAGGCGAGGTTTTAATGTCACCTCTGGCACTGGAGTTTATGAAAGTTCAGAGGAAGTCATGATGGTCCCATTAGAAGAAGTCAGGAAGTCAGATTAAGACAGAATCTCAGCCAAAAATCCAGAAAACAACACATTACATAAAAGACATGCCTGTCAGCTCATTGTATTAAAAGCTCACCTTTCCACAAAAATCAATTTCTTCTATTCCCACCACCATGGGCCAGACCAAAGATTGTACATCTTCACAAGACTGGAATGGGTTGTAAGGCCATCAGCAACAACAAGCTTGGGAAAAAGTGCTGTGGTCAGATGAAACCAAAATCAAACTCAACTCGAGCGAGTCAAGCACGGAGGTGGAAAACGTTGGGCGTGTTTTTCTGCTAAGGTCGACTTCATCACACTGAAGGGCCAATAGACTGAGACACGAGGGGGTTGCCAAGTGGCAGGAAAGAACCCTAAACTGTTTATAAAGTTTCTCAAGGGTTTCTCCATCAAATACTAAGTCATGTTTTGCTTGGGGATCTTATGCCACTCAATGTGACATATCAATCAATTTATAACTTTTATGTATTGTGTTTTTTATTTTTGGATTCTGGTTGATATTCTGTCTCTCTCCATCAAAAATGAAACTACCACAAAAATTAGAGACTTACAAATTCTGCAGGGGATCAAAAAAATATTTTCTCCACTGTTGCATTTCAGCTTTACACTATTATAACACTGTCAGCTGTTTATTTGTCCTTATACCATTATTCAAGGTTTCCTAAAGCTATTTATTATGGCAAAACATAACCAGATGTCCTCACACATCTACCCTGAATTCAGTTGTTTGTCTGTGTCAGAATATGACAGAAATAAGAATCGCCTCAGTTCCCTGACTCAACATTTGTCTGCTCTAAAACAACTGGCTGGAGAACATTAATAACTAGAAACATGGAGGTCCATTGTTTATTAAACCTTAACTCTTTCCCTGTCCACACGAGCACTTTAAACCACTTCACACACGCCCTACAAAGTCTTAATAATAACACTTGTAAGCGAATCCTTTTAGACATTTACATTCCCATGAGTCTTTGCAGTGCTGCAGCATTCAACTGTATTTAAAAAGAAAGAAAAGCATTTTACTGTCAGTTTAAAGTGACTCATTCATGCATCATTTTTGAATTAGGTTGTCTGATATATGCTAAGTTACTGAGTGACTATGCATTGGCCCACTGACTGTAGAAAACAGTTTTCTACAGTCAATGCATTGGCCATGCGGCAGATTTACGAGTTAAAAATGTGAAAGGACAACACAGTTTTCACAGAGGTGGAGGATTATTTTCCCAGTGCAAAGGAGAAACTCTGCCACAGCATCAGGAAGAATGTTGGGAATTACTGCTGCTGCAAAAGCCTTCGAGGCTTATCTGTGATTGAAGCCATCCTACCCCTACACACAAAGAGGCTGTAAATCAACTTGACAGACTGCCCGGTAGATTACATTTGTCAGCATACGCATACATAAGCACAAGGAATTGGGAACAGTGCTGAAAGCAGCTCCCGAGGCTCTGGTGTTGTATCTGCAAAGTTTTTCTAAGAAGCTCTCCACTTCTTAGAAAATGTTTGGATTTACTGGTAACAGGAATACTTTGAACATCCATCATCACTATCTGGTAATCACCATATTCAGATTGTTGGTAATTTCATGTTGGATCTCAAGGAAACCTCTGTTGAGAAATCACCACATACTTCCTACCGCTTGTTTTCTCCACTGCGATGCCTCTTGGGGAATTTCCAAATCGCAGGAATAAAAAAATCTGTATTTTGACTCATTTGTAAACAGACTTTCCTCTGAGAAATTTCTGCATTATTTATATTATTTAAATATTTAGACATGTTTTGTCATTGAGAATGTTACACAGCAACTAATTGCTATTCGCCTTCCAGCTGCACTTATACTATGCAGGCATGGGTGCTGTTAGCGACTTTGGGTAGCTTGAAAAAAGGCCAGCTCTGGGACCACCGAATACTAACTCTAGTATCTAGATCAGTTCTGTCCGAAAGCAATCAGTGGGCAGACTAATTTGTATTTAAGCAATGTTATATCCAATAAACAACTTCGCTGAACAGATGTTCAGACCAGCTGCGGCTTGGAAACAGTTCAGCCCTCAACTGAATTCATGTCAATGAAAACACTGCATGCTAGTATTGTTACGCTGAATCATGCTAGGATACTATTAGCTTTTCCACAGAAATGCATATTTTCTTTTTCTTCTATTAATCTCTGGCACTTTTCCACAGCACGTCTTTTGTCCCGTTTTCTTCTCCTCACCCCCAACCGGTCGCAGCAGACGGCCAACCCTCCCTGAGCCTGGTTTCTTCCTGTTAAAAGGGAGTTTTTCCTTCCTTCTGTCACTAAGTACTTGTTAAAATTAGTGATGGGATTTCCGGCTCTTTTTAGAAATCCGGCTCTTTTGGTTCGACTCACTAAAAAGAGCCGACTCTTTCGGCTCCGAACCGGCTCTTCAGGTTGTTTTGTTGCTTTAATTAATTTATTATTAACAATAATATAAAATTATGCACAAAAGGAATTACTATGGTAAAAAAGTGGTTTTATTTATATATGTTTATATATAAATATATGCGGTGGCCCCTAGAGACAAAACACGTACAAACTCCAAAACACATTTCTAGCATGAACTGAACTTCCAAAGCAGAGCTACTAGATCACTTAAATTACACAATTGAAAGTATGTGTGTATTGTTTGTGTATTTATACACAGGCACTCATATATATTCAAATAATTTAAAAAAAAAAGTTCATTTACCTGTTACTACCACACACCAAATCCGGTCGTTGGTACTTGCTGGCTTGTGTAGCCACTAGGTAACAAAAGCTCAACACTGCGCCTAGCATCCTGGAGCACTTCTGTTGTCTTTTGTACGTGTTTTGAGTTTTTACGTGCTTCGGAGTTTGTATGTGTTTTTACGTGTTTTGGAGTTTGTACGTGATTTGAAGTTTGTATGTGCTTTATCTCTAGGGGCCACGGTAAATATACTTTTATTTATTCACTCCACATAAAATGTAATAAATAAATCATACAATGCAAAAATCAACTATTCACATTTCAAATTTTAACTATTTAAATTTGCAGCTTTTTCCTTTTACAAATTTAAAGTGAAACAACACAAAACACTGCAAACCACAACACAATTAAATATAAATTAAAATATGAAAACAAAAAGAACATGCATATTCTCTGTCATATGGGCCCGCATGAATAAACTTTCTGAATCCTTTATCATCTGCAACCGAAAATAGTTGTGGATGATTACTACCACTTACTATTAATACCTTTCTAATGTGACATTGTTGTCCCTGGCTCTCTTTCTCTCTCTCTCCCTCTGGCTCTGTTCCTGTGCTACTGAGTGTAACTACCGCCCCTCCCCCCTCTGCCCAGCGTAAAGCACAAGGCTCGCGTGCAGAGTGAAGCGGAAAAAAAGTGTGAGAGAGGTTGAGAGAAAGAAAAAAAAAACCACGTGACGGCTCGCGATAAGGAGTCGGCTCTAAGAGCCATTTCGTTCGCGAACGACCCATCACTAGTTAAAATAGGGGTCATTTGCTTGTTGGGGTTTCTCTGTGTTATTGTAGGGTCTTCACGTCACTGGAGTTGGTCTCTTTTCTTTCACAACACTTTTATAAGCACAACTTTTTCTCACCAACATTTTTCCTACACATACAAACAGATTTGTGTTTCCCACAAGAAAATGGGACAATGAGGATTACACAACCTCCAGATTATTGTTACCGCTTTATGATTTCTCTCTTCCCTGTTAGTGTGCGTGTTTTGGGGCTTCTGACTACATGACTGGCCAAGAGTCTGTCTCCATTTTTCTGTTTCACACAGCCTTTCAGTCTATCATAGTGTTATGTGAGCAAATAAAAAATATTTTCTTGTGAAGCTTAATGTTAGATATTTCAAGCAGATAATTTAACCTTACAAACTGTTAGAACAATATGCTTTATTTCCCTCAGATCTACTGTGGAAAAATTAAAAATATTTTACTTGGAATAAGATGCTAAAGTGTTTTGTAGTGTCTTATGGCTTGAGTGATTTTGCTTCCTACTAAACTGATTTAGCCAGATATTGTTCTTTGAGATTTAAGAGACAAGAGATGAAGAAGAGAGATTATTGTTAAAAGGTAAGGACTGCTCAGTGATGTTTTGATAGACTCATCGGCGTAACTTTGTGCCTAACATTGGTGGGGGTGGGATCAAGATCTCTGTCTAAATAAATAAATCTGGGTAAATTCCCACATGATTAATGACATTTTCTATCCCCACTTTCACCACCACAGCCAATTCTAGGGTTCCTACACCTCTCACGTGAACCCAACTATACTTATTTTCCTGTTTGGATGTAGAGGGAAGGGCACCCGGCATAGACGATAGCAACTAGAGCTAGTGTTTCTCTGCTTGTGTTAAACACATTCAAGCTGCATACAATTATTTCAACATAAACTCTAATAAAGTTTGCACTCCATGGAGTTGTGTAATCCTGTTAATATGAATTAT